CCCGGCATCGTTTGGCTCTGGGGACTGTCTGTTGCTGTTACAAAATCACTTCCCAGATCGCGAGGTTCACCATCCAGGACTTGCGCGCAAAAGCTCCCGGCCGAGAGGATGGGCCGCCAGCCGAGACGGAGGTGTCCTCGAGTTGAAAACACCTCCGTTTCTGCTGGCGGCCCATCTGCACACCTCGAGGATTCGCTCCGTTATGAAGCATGCAAAATGGCAGCTCCCTTTGCGTCCTTATTCGGGCTGGGTTCAGGATCAAAGCAGGTCAGGCGTTTAGATTTTTATAGGACTGCGAAGTTGGGCTTCACGGGTCTTCGACAAGGACAGTAGGTTCACGAGCATCATGAGAAGCGAAGAGAACATGCAATCGCCGCCGCCCCACCAACACGACCAACACCGCCAACACCGCCAGCACCACCAAATACCACCAACACCGGCAATAACAGCAACAACAGCAACCGCGACAGCAACAGCAACAGCAATTGCCAACCGCAACAGCAACGGCAACAGCAACAGCAACAGCAACAGCAACAATCGCAGCGAACAGAGACCCCACGGCAAAGCCAAACAGAATACGACGACAACTCCAAAACGACCTGGGCCTCGACAGGCAACAGAAACCACGACAGAGACAGCAACGTAAGCAACAATACCGACGACACGACGACGCTGAGGACCGCGAAGACGACGACCACAACTGACCGCAACCGCTGTCACCGTATCAACAACGATGGCGATGACGACGTAGACGCCACAGCCAGGACGACGACAACGACAACAAGTGCCACGGCAACAGAGAGTTGCAAGAGAGTGAAGTCAACAGTCGGGGATGCTTCAGTGCAGGACATCGGCCGGGCATCGACACTGGCAAATCTAGCGAGTAGCAATCATGATAAAGCAGGCATGGACGATCCCTTGAGGCACCACCGCCAAAAGAACATCGCCAACAACAGCTGCAAAGGCAGTGGCAGAGGACGCAACAACAGCATGAATGCCAACATTTGTATGAGGCAGTAGCAGCAACAGTAGCAGGTAGGCGCAGAACCACTGGCAACAGTAATGGCGACAATACTATCATCAGCAACGAATCTATCAGCAGCACCAGCAACAGCAACAGCAGCGCCAGCACACCAGCGGCAACAGCGCGGCAACAGTGGCAGCTCCGGCAGTAGTAGCGAAAAGTTTAACATTGGCAATATCACTGAACAGCAACGCAGCAGCAACAAAAATAACATCACCAGCATCACAGCGACAGCAGCAGCTCCAGCAGCAGCAGCAGCAGCAGCAGCAGCAGCAGCAGCAGCAGCAGCAGCAGCAGCAGCAACATCATCGGCAACATCATCAACCTACAGCATTCGCCATTCCGACAAGCTTTTCTTGGCATGTGGCCCAAGAGGGAGGGAACTCCTCCCGACGCACCTCACGACCCTTCTTGGGAGTGCCCAGCGCCCAGAAATGTGCAGTTTGTGCCACCTGCGAACATTGAGGGCAGCCCAAAGATGTCAGAAAAAGGTTGTTCCCAATCACATTCCGAGACTTCGCCGCTTCGGCAAGGCGTTGTCAGACCGAATGAAGTGCTTCCGGAATGCGGTTCTCAGTGCCTCAGTCCGGCCCCGAAGCTCTTGCGATTCTTCTGGCTTGAGATAAGCACTTGGTGGTGCCGCGGCGCGTACGTCAGGCCTTCACCGTGGGGCCAGTGCCCAAGCCACAAAGCGAATCCGTGCTGGGCTGGGGAGCTTGCGGGGATGTGAGGCTCGGGGCATCCTACCACATGGACTACTCCTCGGGAGCCTCTCCGGTTCAGAAGGTCGTGGAGCTAATGTGCCACCGGCAAAGCTTCTGTCGGCTTCCAACGGCTCAGTCTGAGTAAGCCTCTCCATTCGTGCCAGGCAGACCATGGTTGCCGAAGGCAAGAAGGAGATTCAGGCAGAGAAGGCCAGGCAGTTTGGAGCGTTCTGTGCGATCTCTCCGAAAGGTTTCTCGCTAGGGGAGGAAAGCCAATGGAAGTCTTGAGATCTTTGTGTTTCCTTCATCAGGTCCAGTATGCCAAGTACTCCAAGTGGTGCGAGATGACGCAGGTCTGTGGGCAGGATGCGCAAGAGAGAAGTAGCCGGCTGTTTGGCTTCCATGCTTGATTTGCAAGCACGATTGCAGCCAGTGAAGTCCCAACGGATTGCATCCTAACCCCCCGAAGTGCGCCGTCAGGCGAAAAAGTCGCAGGTTATCTCGGACACAGCAGATGCCATCGATGGCTTGAAGGCCACCTGAGAACTCTTTATGCACCAGTTCTTCCCTTGGATGCATTGATCCGTGGGGTTCATCCGGTACCGCACCTTTGCAGCTATCCTCCAACTCCCAGACGTTATGTGAAGGACTGCACGGCAGCTCATTTCCGGGATGCCACTCGTACGTTGCTTTGCTAGGCCGATATCTCAAAGACATCGGCTACCATCGACCGGCTGACTGCGGAGAACGAAGGCTGTCCAAGACGATGCCGTGGATGTTGGGGTCGGCAGCAGATCTGGGGACATTGGTTTTGCGCTTGGCCTTGTCGCACCAGTCGTTGCCTGACGATGTCAAGATTGTGGTTGTCATGCAGCAGTAACCCGGAGATGATTGCAGTCATTTGCGCCTTGATGCAGCAGACATTGCATTGCCTTGATTTGTGCAGGTCACCAGGGCAACGTTGCAGCCTTGGTGGCGCAGCAGGAGAACATAACGCAGGTACTTGTCGGGCTCTTCTCTGCGCAGTAGACGTCCGCAATTTCTTGAGTCCACACCCCCCTGCCACTTTCGTTGACTGCCGTGCCAGATTCGCAAGAAAGAGAATGAGGACTTCCAAGCCATCTCGAAGGCGCCCCGGACATGCTCTTAACCTGCTGCTCTTCTTGATGTGCGTGCGCAGAAAGTGCAGTGGAGTGATCTAGTGTGCTGCTGTCGGCATTCACCCTGCCACCAGGACTACGGAGAGTCGATTTCTGCCCTTGGCAATGCCATCGGCGTGATGAAGGAGCAGGCCAAAGACCGTGAGAGTTGGGCAGAGACATGCAGGGGTGAGTGGTGTGGCCTG